TGATATTGAAGTTAACTCATCCGTAAAACACAAATCTCTAATTGACGATGATACTAATGTTGTCTACAAACCTATATGAACCTGATGCAATGAATGCTATAACTTCCTTCCAAGCCATGATGATCAGAAGACATTGTCTGTAAGGATACTCTCACAATCAATGTAGAGAAAGAGAGTGATGACGAATACAAATCCCTACGAACAGTTATAGGAAGACCTATCATGAGCTCAATATATTACTTACAAATGAAATTCAAAAGACCGTCGATGAATATCAGCGCCCACGAGGTACTACGAGCTAATGTAGGAGATTCCTCATCCACATGATAATCTACCTACATATAGTAACAAATAAAATACAGAAGGACTACAACAAATATGTGTGAGCTCTTATAAACTACTGTAAAAAGATAAGGGGGTCCTTCATCCATACAAAGGACAATCTACGAATGAGTCAGCAAATACATTGATCTACTGCAAGTGATCCGGCCATAAGTGTGATAGCTCATCGGTCAACATGTACGAAGAGGTCGACGACAAGTACAAATGACACTGCAGGAGACTTGTTAGTATATGGCAATCTACCTGTATAAAGCAACCATAAAGATCATACAATGAACGCGGCTATTTGCCTACGAACATGTATAAGGATTTCTACAATGAGCATAACATGCCTACAAACAACTACAAGAAGCTTATGAATGCTCACAAATGACATCACAAGACTTGCCTACAAACATGCGTAGAAGACTTGTAATGAACATATGATGTAAACGACGATACACCTACAACTTGCTTATGATTAAAAGAACAAGAATGACATATCTACGATAAGTATGACAATCCACTTATTAAAGGAGTGTGACAATCCACTCGTCGAAAGGGGACATGATGCCTTTGTTGAATATATTGGTCAATATGTTCGTGATACATATAACGTGCTACCCATTGGTTAAAGTCAAAGAGAGTTGTGGTTAATGAAGCATCTTGCTTACAACGGAGGATGAGTAGCCATCTACAAGTAGTGATAGTGGATAGACTTTCATACCCAACAATAATTAAACACCTAGCAGATGATTCCCCTGTAGATTAAGGAGGTTGGCATGCAACAAATGTAACAAGTTATAATGGGTATCATAGATCACCTCCAAAGATAACAAAAATCTTGCAAACACAAGCATCATGTGACAAACGATACAATATATATTTTGTGACTATGGTGTGAAGGGTATTTAGCAGATGAAACAACTGCTTTACAAAACTCCGACAATCAACATCAAGATACGGACAAGCACACTGATCCGCATGCGATCAAGAGTGAAAGATCTACAATACATACAGTCTCTCTATAAATATAGATGTACGTACTACATGTCATTTGTGGGTAGATACAGAAAGACTTCAATAAATGCAGTATAATGTAGTCAACTTTAGTCTGTGAAGGAATACATCTATCTACATACCTGTTGTAATGATGGATGTACTGCATAGGCCAAAGATCATAGCAAAATACATAAGGAATGCAACAAATATAAGTTCTTACGAGCTTCTGTAGGAAACACGCTATACACTTAACATGCCATCTACAAGAAGAATGCAAGGGAACTACAGTAAATAGCAATACCTATTGGTGAAAGCAGTAGATTCTTTAGTGCACTAAAATCTACATGCAGAGAGCAACGAGTAGTGTACGACAGTTTACCTGTACAAAGCAACAAATCTATAAGCTGTTTCATCACGCCACCGGATCCGCAACATCTATGCAAACGGATAGATGATGTTTACAAATATTCCAAGAATGCCCTCGCACATGCACCATAATATGTATGCACATAGGTATACTAAATGGGGCAAGTGCAATCATAAAACCCGCATGGGCCCTGACTAGCATGTTGTAGGAACACATGTTACGTCTAGGGATACTGCGTGGGTTAATAAATTTGAACCCGATCCTCCTAAGCAGGCAAATAGGAGTTGACAATATTCAACAAATAATTATAAAATATCCTCAAACACCCGTATGGGCCCCAACGAGCGTGTTATTGATACACACGTGATGTATATGGATGCTGCGCTGGAACATAAATGAATATAGTTCTAGCCTGATCCTTTTATACGGATAGATGGGAGTCGACACGGATCGAACTATCAAACAGATATACAGTCAGGGTGTCTACCGAAATGTTAGTTTTATACATTCATATATGGCCTTCAATGCCTTTCACAAAGAAAATTCATCAACAAAAGCATAAGACTTATGAACCCGATCCTCTGTTAACAAGTAGATAGAGTTGATAAGGTCCAATCAATGAAATTCCCAAATGACCCAAATACTCCGATGATGGACATGTTGAATGTAGATCTCAACCGGAGGGGTTAATTCCAAACATTTCAAATGCGTCCTAAGTACCCAAAAATCCAAAATTTCAAAAATCTTCCAAACTCCAAAATATTAAAAAAATTGAAATTATCCGTCTAATAACTTAAAACAAAATTCATCAACCATCCGCAACAGTTTGTCGGGGTGGACAAATTAAAATCTACTTCAGCTCACATAGAGCTAATGTTTGATCAAAAATATTACTAAGATCCATTCTCAAACAATCTCCTGCCAGTAAGGACGTGATACGTGTCCTATGACCGGCAGTTTTGCAGTCAAATAACACCGCAGGATAAATAGTTATGACCCGGGGCCCTTTGAACCGAATGGTTTTACCATCAAATGACACCACAAAATACCGGTTATGACCAGAGCTAGCTAAAGTGGATTTAAATTTGTTCCCTTATATAAACATTCCCCCCAGGTCTATAAGGTTCCCTTGGACGATGCAACCCATGACTGCCGATAAGGATCCGTCTGTCAGGTTGGGTCGACTACCTCTTCTGACTAAGTAGATCAGGGACGACGATGGCCCGGGACGACGGAACCATGGGATCTTAATCGCACCCATCATCCATTTCCCCACCATCCGCTTTAAGTGTAAGGTGGTACAATTTCAAATTTTAATTATCAGTTCTCCAACTATTTCAAATGCCCGGCTGTTACTATATGCCAGATGACACGTATTTGTACGTATCTGATTGACGACTAGCCTTAATCGAAAGTTCTTTTACCGAGAAGGGTAATTAACTATAGGGGCTTGTGCCTATAGGAAACCAAAACTCAGATCATATAGTCCTCACAAAATGAGGGCGAAATCTCTAGGTATTGTCTTATCTACAAACCCATATGCCTTCCCAAAATTTACCCTGTAACTTAAATTCGTTAATACTCTCCCGAAAGAAAAGCAAGCCAGCGGAGGTTGGGGCCGAATTTTCGGAGCACACAGGCGACACAGATATTACACGACATGGATACAAAATGCGCCAATTATTGAAAATATAGACCACAGACACGGGTTGAACTTTGTTTTATAATTTTTATATATTAAAAATAGTATATAGAAATTGAATAAGAAGAATAGTAATAATATATTATATATATATATATATATATATATATATACATGCTCGCATATGAATGTTTATATTTTATATTATGTAATACACCATTATAAATAAATATTAAATTCATGTTAAATTCTAGCCTTTGCTTGAATCAACATGAATGCCAACTCAAATTTAGCCGCTTTCAACTCACCTTAAACTTGGCTTGAGTCAACTCAAAATTCTCAAGTTTAAGTTTAGGCTCTAGCTCAAACTTGACTTAATATCAGATCTAATTATAGGGCTACATGGATCGAGAAAACCCACATGGTCCTTGTTAGGTTCAATGTACCATTTCCTGGGTACAATTTTGTGCATCCATTCCACTTTATATTGGTTTCCCATTGCTCACACCAATACTAGTATGACCGAAGTCTATACTTGAACCTATTAAAGACATTTTAAGATAATATTTCTCATTTTAATATGAAAGAGTGGTATAAAGGATTGCATGCTAACAGAACCTGAATCACATCTAATTATAGGGCTATATTGATTGAGAAAACCCACATGGTCCACTGTTAGGTTCAATGTACCATTTCCTACTTCTAGGGCACAATTTTGTGCATCTATTCCACTTTATATTGGTTTCCCATTGCTCACACCAATACTAGCATGACCTACGTTTATACTTGAACCCATTAAAGACATTGAAGATAATATTTCTCCTTTTAATATGAAAGAATGGTATACAGGATTGCATGCTAACAGAACCTGAATTAGGATGTGAGCCTAAGAAAAACCTTGAACGTGAGTCTAAACATGATCTATACTACCTTGACATTGAAGTCGCGGTTAAGTAGGTCATATCTTCTAATGTTGCTAGATGGATTCTTTGACTTCCATCTAGTGTGGATTTTGATTTGTGTCTTCTTTATGTTGAATTTTTACTGTTCTCATTATTTACAAGTCATTACAAGGTTTCCCATCAAGAAGTGTTCTCTTCTATGTTCCCATCAATACTTTTACCTTGTAAAACAACCATGGTGTCTTCTAGCCGCTTTAATAATTTCAGGTTTTTGGAAACTGTAATGTTTATGAATTTGATCTATTCTAATTAAATGATATATGGAATAAGGCTAATTGAACATGCATCTTAAATTGCATTTGGTCCTTAGGCTCATGCATGTGAAGTAGGATTTTTTCTGAAGGACAACTACTTCATGGGAATCATTCTTAAATTATAATTAGGCCAAAAATGAGTCTTCTTAGCAGTTTTTTTTTCTATTTTTTCGTGGATAGTATAGCATAGAATATGCATCATTTTAAAACCCACGTAACAACTTCACGATAACCAGGGTGTTAACCTGAGCAAATGCCCTTGGAGGAAGAAAAATTGTGGCTTTTTTTTTTAACTCTTTAATGTTTAATTGGGGACAAGCTGTCTGTTCTTTTTGCTAGTTGGCAGTATTTTACTTACGATGTGTACTACTTTCATGTGATTTATTTTAAGTTCTATTTAAATTCTTGGTGTACATAATGTCTTATTCTTTATTGACTTTTTGACCTCATAGGATACATCAGTACTGAGAATCGATTTCTTGAAGCATGATAACCTAGTTAAATATGCTGAAAATCTTAAGAGGCAGTATTTGGATGGGGAGCTTCCAGCTACTTCTATTCCAAGGTCTCATTTTGATGCTTCAACATCAAAATCAAACTCAAGAAGAAAAGCTTCACATTGGAGTAAGAAGCCAACCAATCCTCATTATTCATAGGAGGATTTATATACGTACTGTTGAATTCTTATATTTTTTTATGTCTAATACTTAAATTTTAATATATATTTATATCACACTTAAGTGTTTCATTCACATCAAAATATGCATTAAAATGTGCATCTCAGTTTAGAAAAGTTAATATTAATTATATTTTTTATATGACTTAAAGATTTACAGGTTTTGTAAGTAAATATAAAGATTTTGATGTTAAATATATAAAGACAAGAATTTTGTGGTATGTATTTAAGTCCTCTTAATCATATTATTTTTTAAAAAACTTGAATCATGATAGGATTTGATCATTTATCTTTTTGTTCCAGGTTACCTTAGGTTTTGGAGAATTTTTTGTAGGTCATATTTTTTACTTGTTCGAATTGGGATTTTTTTTTTTTTAAAGTTTTAAAGTTCTGCATATGCCATTAATAACTTGAGAGGTTCATGTGATTTAGAGAAGCGGCTGAATTCTTCACAAAAATAAGAATTATTATTATTATTATTACTTTCAATTATTATAATCTATTGCAGTCTATAGTATTGAATGGGGGAGGGAGTTTCATAAAGCTGATCACACAGTTTTGATAATATTATTGATGTTGATTATATTATCAATTTTAACTTTTTTTTTTATATAGAATAGGCCAATTTATAAAAAATTTTGTTGTCATTATTAGCCTTAATTATTACTATTTGTAGTTAGCTTTATAATAGTTTTCATTTGTTCATCTAAACTGTTATTTGTGGTGTTAAATCTACTTTGCATGTGGTTAATTTATTTTATACGAATCATTTTACACTTTTTCTTTAGTGTACCCTTTCTCTTCCTAGATATTTCACATTTTTTATCTTTTTCTGTAGTGTGCGTTGGCCAGTAGTAATTGGATCGCTTTAGTCGGCTATGGCTAATCACCCTAAGGCTTTGTTTGAGGCAGCTTTCTTACTGCTTTATGAAATAGTTTTTCTAGTATAAAATTTCAAATTAAAAAAAAATTGTATTAAAAAACTGCTTCATAAAACAATAAAAAAGTTCTGCTTCATAAAGCAATAAAAAAGTTACCTAAACAAGCCTAAATCCATGCATATGATACTGATGACTATTAAGTAGAATTCTTCAGCCACACGTCTCATTAGTGTAGAAAACCTTTTAGTTGCTGATACCTCATCATATCGTAGATACATATTATTAATGTGAGCTTTCGCTGCTCATCATCATATTGATATAACACATTCCATGATTTTCGGGGTATAGTATGAAATTCCTTTGTGCATTATCTTTTGTGAGGAATCTAGTATATACTTGATCTTTTATCCTACTTTTAATTAATGAAATATTTGGGTTATATTTTTATCATTATATATAGTTTTTGGTTAACATTGTCCTAGTAATGTCATTTTTACCTTGTATTGAATATTCTGGTAATAATTTGTCAGGATAGTTCTCAAAATCTATATGTGTAGTACATGAATAATTTATCTCAATGTAGATCTGAATGCTTTGAATTCCATCATGACTAAAAGAATAATTTGAATCAAACTGTGTTCGTTGTATTGCAATATTATTCTTTATTAGATTTAGATGTCGGTCCTCATCTGGTTGGTTTAATTATGCCATTTTATAGGTTCGAAACCCAAACCAAAAGCCAAGAGAGAGAAGACTGAAGAGGAGAAGAAACTTCGGAGAAGAGCGAAGTACTTCCTTGCAGCTCAAGCGATTGCTGTGGTTGTGTTCCTATCATTCTTTGGAGGGGTTGAAAGAGCTGAATTGCAAGATGGTGATGAGGATGGATTTGCTTACGATGATTAGGCTTTTTACCTAAAAATATTTTACATTTATGATTTAGCTTTTTGATCCATTTTTAGAGTTTTACGTAGGGTTTATATTTGATTCAAATATCTACAAATTTTTCTTTGAATTTTATTACTTTATAAGCGGGCAGTGTTTGATTTCCATTTTTCTGTTGAATTTATTTCATTATTTTTTGTTATATTATTATTTTCAGTCGACTTAAAGAAACTAAAATGGAATGATATGGATGTGATAATATATATAATCTTTTTGTTTAAATGGATGTGATAATATAAATGTTGATAATATTGATACGTTCAATGTTTATGTATAAAAAATAAGCATTAATTGTATGCAATTTAATTTTTTTCTTCTGAAAAAATATTAAAAGAGTTTGTCTAAATAAATAAATTAATAAAGGATATTTCAATTTTTTAATTATTTTTAAAAAAAGTTTTTTTCATAATAATTTTTAATCGTCAGTCATTATTTTATTTATAGTATATAATTTATTTATTTATAATTAGTTTAATAAGTCATTAATAGACGTGCTGGGAAATTATAGATGCATCAGACGGTATGAATTGTTCTCAAATGCTTGATCACTGGTTGTTCTGCATGTCTATGATATTATAAAATATGTTTAGCACCAAGCCAATATATATAGAGAGAATCTAGACACATTTTTAAAGTGATTTAGTTTGTGATAGAATGTACCCTCAACTTTAAGGAAACTCACGTATAAGAGGTAGTGAGGCCTGCAATGCTTTAAGTGGTGCGAATGTTGGTCATTAAAAGATAAGCATTGATACGAACCATTCACAAATTATCTTTGATCGGCACGAAGTCTCGAGGCCAAAGTAGTTGAAAATAAATTAATTGACTGAATCCGATTTCAAACGAACTTATAGTCAAACTGAGGTCTGGAAACTGCGAACCGCAACTGATCACACCAATGATCAACCCAATCTGAAGCCCAATACGAGTGCCGAATCAAGGGTTCAATGCGCTGTTGGAAGGTTCAACCACAATTTGAGTTACCAAAGGTCTCCGATTCTTTGATGAGCTTATACTCGAATCGAACGGCTCGACGAGAAACGAATCCAACGAGCCCAAGAATCATCGATTCCTGACATCAATTAAGGCCTTCAATGACCATACTGAACGGTGGCAGATCAAAGGATTTCGATAAACCCCCCCCCCCCCGCTCGCCGTCCATATCAAACCACTCCCATTCGCCCTTGATCTCACGCCTATTTATGGGCTGATGCCACTCCAGAATAACTATAAAATAGAGCCCTCATTCTACAAAAGGTGGGCTCCAGTGAAGATGAGAGAACAAAGGAAGAGGAGAAAAGGGAAAAGGAGATTCCTCACCTCCTCGACGCCTCGCCGGAGCTTCTATCCTAGCCCTGATAGACGTCGGAATCTCTGCCAGGATTTTCGGGGAATGCAGAAATCCGCCCAACTCCATGGGAATGCTTGAAATTCTTCCCAATTTACAAAGAGAATCCTCTCCTGACGCCTGAACTCCGCCAAGTGAAGTCGGAGTTCTCCTCTGGCCACCAAAGACGTCGGATCTTCTACCCGACGTCGAACCTTCACTCCTCGCCAAGTTTCTACCCGATGCCGGACTTCTACCAGTTATCGGACTTCGCTGGACGTCTATGCGAAGATGCATTTCTTTCCATTGTTGAACTTCTACCTGACGCGGTCCTACTGATCTTCGTCGTCAGACTACAGTCCTTCCCGACCTCCGTCGCCAGCCGACTACGGTCTCTCTTGACTTACGTCGTCCCGCCGACTACAGTCTTTCCGACATCCTTCGCCCGTTGAATACGGTCCTCCTGACTTATGTCGCCGCCCACTACAATCATTCTGACCTCCGTCGCCCGCCGACTACAGTCCTCCTGACTTACGTCGCCCGCCGACTCAGCCTTCGTCGCCAGCTGACTAAGTCCTCTCTGACCTACGTGCCGCCCGCCGACTGCAATCCTTTTAACAAAGCGAATACGTCGATAGTAGCTCTTTGTATTTACATCATGTAATGTACTCCATAAGATGTACATCAAGCTAAGGCCTTCTCCCAAGGAAGGGCCTCATTTGTAATCGACTGCGAATACTAGTGGATTCGTTCAAACTAGGCTAGGCCCCATGGGTTTTCCCACTTTTACAGGGGTTTTCCACGTAAAAATCTTGGTGTCTCATAAATGCTAGACCCTCTCTCCTTATCTGATTGCGTGCAGATTTCTGTACATGCTTAAGACGATAAACTTATATTCTCTAGTACCGCCGCGAATACCCTGGACGCACAAGCATAATACTTGAAGTTAAGTGTGCAGAGATGAGGATGCTCAGGTGGTGTGCTTACCCCTTAGAGTAGATAGGATACGAATGAGCTATACGTGAAAGGGTGGAGTAGCTCAGTAGTAAGATAAGATTTAGAGAGAGTCGCCTTATGATGGTTTGTCACATATAACGGCGGCCTTCGATGACCGATTGGGAGAGTAGAGGTATTAGATTTGACTTATGTTAAGAAAGGTAGGGGTAGACCTAAAAAAACTTGGTTAGAAAATATTAGGAATGACCTTTCTTTATTAGATTTAAACGAGAATTTGACTTTTAATAGGCCACAATGGAGAAAAAGGATTCATGTAGCCGACCCCACGTAGTGGGATAAATGCTTGATGTTGTTGTTGTTGTTAAATTTTGAGTTATTTTAAATTACAAATTTAGTATTATTATCACTATCATTTAAAAATTATCATAATTAGTTCTCATATTTCAATCTTTTTAGACATGCCATAAAGTTTTCAAGAACAATAGTGAGAAAAAAAAAAAAAAAAAAAGATAATAAAGGATATTAAACATTTGAGAATTATATTCAAATAACTAATAACTTTAATGAGTTATAGAGGAGCCTCATGTTTTAATGATCCATGCATGCTATAATTTCATTCTTATTTTTTAAATTATCTCATACACGCAAAGTATAGAAGAATGCGAATTTTTGTATCTCCAATGAGCTTTTGCACCATATAATATGTTGCATGATTTTTAGGGTAGTAGTATGAAGTTCGAATCATTTGTGCGTAGTGTGTTATCTTTTTAGGCTAAAAATTCTATAGCTCTTGTGAGGAATCTAATATGCAATTGATATTTCAGTCCATATATATATATATATATATATGGACTGAAGTGGTTGAATGTGCTCATAACCACGTTGTTCAAACCTTTAACATTGTCCTAGGAATGTTTTTTTTAACTTATCCATCATTCTTTTTTTACTTTGTATTGGATAATCCCATAAAAGTTGTTCAAGATGGACCTAAAAATTTTTAGACATATGAGATGAGTATAATACATGAGTAGTTTATCTTGTACCTTTTTTTTGTGTTTTACTAACCATTGTACAACATATATCGAGCTGGATTAAAGAAGCACACTCAAGATAGTGCTGCATCAAGATTTAGTTAATTAGTAATAAACAAACTTTGTACCTTTTTTCTTGAGTCAATTATATAATTAGGTGTATGTTTGACAACCGAGCACACACTCACAAGGGGGGATAAAAATTTGAATACTTGAATTTTCTTTTTAATCATATTATACAATCTCAATTGTAATGTACAATCTATTAATCCATAAATTAATTTAAGTATTTAATTAAAGTAAAAAATTTAATTGAAACATAATTAATAATATTGTACGATCTTCAGTCATATAGAATGATGAGCTATTTTACTAAAACCCCACAGCCTAAATGATGCTATAAAAATATACAAATTTGAACTAATCATATTATATTATTATTAATGAATGTTGCCTAATTTTATCCTGTAGATTAACAAATAGAATTAGGATCAAATCCTAATTGATGATCACACTATACAATTCAAATTGTACAATCCAATTTACTCGAGAGCTCACTAGTTGGACCTTAATTCATTCATTACGATGCCTGATTCAGTGTAACTGTTCATATATGATGATTTGTGATGGGAAATGAAGTAATCATATAGTATAATCCTAATATCGTACTTTATGATTAGAGAAATTAAATTTGAGATTAGGGCTTAATTTAAATAGCCCATTTTAATTCATTTTAAAAAATTCTAAGGGATTGTGTTAAGTAGCCATAGACGTTTCTTATGAGAGAGAGCTCTTAGAGAGGGAGAGGTGTGACCTTTCTTGAGAGAGGCTCTAAACTTGGGAGAGAGAGAAGTGAGACTGAGGAAGGTTTTTGTTACGGGAGTCAAGGGGTGTGAGGGAGTCACACGGTTATTCTCGTCAGCCTGCACCTTGAGTTCTCCAAGTTGTAGTGTTGGAACTCTTTGAGAAGAGCTATAGGGAAAATTCTATTGGTGAAAGACTTTACTAGTCGAGGAGGCTAGGGAAGCAACATCTCAACTGATTCAAGGAGCAAAAGGAGGGAGTGGCATCTCAGTCATTGCGAGGAGCATAAGGAGGTTGCGACATCTTTTCTGTTGCGAGGAACATAAGGAGGGATTGGCATCTCAATCGTGCTGGAGAGTAGGAGGAACATTTCAAGAGGAATAGTCTATAAAGGTAATTCTTTACCTGGGATTGCAGAAGGGCTTCTCCACCTTACTAAGTGTAGAAGGAGTGTTACTAGTTGAACGTACAAAGAGGATGACCTTTAGGGAGTGGATGTAGGTCAATTTTGTTCGAACTAGTATAAAACTTGTTTTATTTTTCTTTTTTTACTTGGCTACATTTTATTTTGTACAAGCTTTTTCTTTGAGAATTATGGTTTGCATATTTTATACTTTCAATTATTCGTAAGTTTTTTTTAACATTTGCTTTGAATCAATCTTTAGATATTTCTTTGCTAATTTTCTTTAAAGAAATATTTTTATAAAACAAAAAATATAACTTAATATTGTTTGCTTTGATTAGTTTATTATTGACACCCTAAGTTAATTTCCATTGTATATTTGGTTTGTTGCACTTAAGTGATTTTTTTTTTTAGTAAAAAAAAAAACCAATCACCCCCCCCTCTTGGTGTGTAATAACAATTTTAAGTCAGAGTAGGGTTCTTGCCTTTGTTAGTTTAATCACTTGAGTAGGTCTGTCACAGTTTGATAATAGGAACACTTTAAAAGAATATTTTATTACTCGAACACCATTATTTGATAATATTCCATTTGGCTTTTGA